AGTAGCCTTTGATCTCCTACTTTTCGTCTGCTTCAGTAAACTCATATTCACCTTCACTGTGAACCACTAAGCTGCCGCAAACCTAAATGCTGCCTTCTCCCGCTGACCAGACGGTCCACAGAAGCCAACAGTCCAAACGTAGAGCCTACCAGATTGAGTTTGTTGTTTGTGTCCGACTTTTTTGTTTTAAGTGTTCTCACACACAACACCTGCAAGTTCTCACTCGGTAAACATCTCAGTTGCCTCCAGGAAATCAAAATGATACAATTGTCAATTCAGCAAATAATTGTTTATTTCTCTTACTTTTTCACGATTTCAGCTTCAAGTGTTTGGTACTCATATCCTCACTGCCTTGATTTCCCTTTAACAGGAGTCCATAAATAGCAGCTATCAAGTTCGACTATGTCACTTCCTTTTCAAGGACCAATCTATTTTTAGAAAGCATTGCCTGTAAAAATGGACCTCCCCTCCGTAAGTGTCCACCTTGAAGTAGGAAATATGAAAAAATAAAAAAGGAAAGAACGAAAAAAAAAAAAAAGAATTGTCAAAATTTCATTTAAGTACCTAAAGCTGCATAGTTTGTGGGAACATACGCGATGGACTAGATCCGATCTAAAAATAAACTACTCTCTGAAAAACCCACCACAGAAATACAAGAATAATGTTTGCTCCGGATTATGGGCTCCTTTCATCATAATGCTACATGCGCATTTTTAAACAGCTTTGGATGAATCTAAAACTTTTATAAAAGTAACAGCCAATAATTATGTAACCCTGCATAAATAATAGTAACAATAATAAACAAAAACATATTTTGTTACCGGTTGCACTCATCAGCAAGTGCTGAAATGTAAAAATAAGCAACTAACACTGTACAAAATACATAAAATTCAGCAAAGCTAAACTTTTGAAAATATTTCGTCAGGTCGGCACCAAAAGTGATTTCCAGCGTTCAATCTTTTACTTGTGTCATTGCCGTGACACAGTAAGTAATAAACTTTTTTCTTCAAGGTCGTATGTCGTTATTGATGAAAATAGTTAAAAAATACAATGACCAGGTGCCCGGATTACCCCTAACGTGACAGAAAAAGCACTCGACAACTGAATTGGAGGTAGTACTCATTTTCAGTTGATGGCGGCCTGACCTAATTTTGTAATCGTTTTTCTTACCTCTTTATGCGATGCTGACAACTCTTTTAATTTAATTTCACCATGTGTGCCCCCTTTGATAATAACTCAATTTAAAACGATACATTATCCATGAAAAAAACAACACCCCTTCCTCTATCTACAAGCGGTATCTACAGTTCGTTACACAGGAACGATCGTTACGGCATTTGTCTGAAGCCATCGCTCTTCCGTTTTATCGGTGATGTACACTATGTGCGAGAAAACAGTGGCTGAAACATACGAAGTCTGAGGCCATCGAAGACCCCAAATGTCCCAAAAAAACAGTTCTCATTTTCGTTTACCAATTTTGATACAACGAAATACTAAGACCAGCGTTTAACGTAATTCTTTATGAAAGTCAGTTTGACCTTTTATGGCCTATAGTAATAATTTGAAACAACAGCAAAAATGTGTATAATTTCCACTTCTAACATGGTTCAATAATTTGTTCATCAAAATAGATTGTCAGCGTACCCGGGTTCACGTTAATCATTATTGAAATAGTCACAGCTTACATTTTCTGTCCATTTCTAATGAGTCCCTTCGCAATGTCTGCAGTTTTCTTCAAACTAAGAATGCTACCATCTCCCACGAAGGGCTGTAACATGCCTCTGCAGCAGCCTATTTTATGAGTGCACTACATCAGTGAACAGCACTTACACTGAGGAGAAGCAAGACCTTTCTTTCCCAATCTATTTCTCTTTCCATCAATTTGATCTTCATCGTCAGCCTCTAACAATCCCTTAGCTGACTGCTCCTCAGCATCCTTAACTTTTTCAGAGCTATCTGCCTTTGCTAGTGCGCTCGTAGGTATCGCTTCTCTTGTATGGGATAGATGAGCAGTGGGAACATGTTCCTTAGAGTCAAGTATTCCACTCTCTGATGGTGCCAAGGGCGCGGAACCATCCTTCTCTTTCTCGGGGAGTATTTCCGGTGCCGACAGTCTCTTCCTGCTGAGAACTTGACGTAAAAGCTCGTCGTCGCTGCCTTCGTCTTTATCAAAAAGTTTTGTGTACGAAGTTGACTTCAACGTTTCTCCTTCAAGGTCATCTAAAATTGCCGTTTCACGGCATTCCGGCTCTGTTGGCTCGTCTTCGTCAGTTCTCTGAAGTAGTTCCTCTTCGGACTCAGCGGCCTTTCTCTCCATGGCGGGAGGAACAGTCTCTTGAACACTGTCCTTAACAACCTCCGTTTTCTCTACAAGAGGGATGTCTAAAACTATAACAGACGTTGACTCCTCTGAAACAGAAGATTGATTTTCTAGGGTCTCGCTGGGCTGCTCGTGACAAACGCGTTTCTTTTCAACAACATTTATGACAACTTCATCTACAAGATTTGAAGATTCATCTTGTGAGCGACCTTCTTTCTCTGTAGACTCCTCTGGATTTTGCGCAACAAACAGCTCCTCCATTTCAGACGAATCCCTCTTTCTTTTTTCGACTGCACGAGGTACAGTTTCCTCAATTGGCTCTTTTGACTCTGATGGCTGCGTATCATCTTCTACTTTTGGTTGTTCTGGGGATGTGTCGTCGATTACAGATTCAATGTTCACGAGTAGGGATTCCACTGTAGCGTGGTCTTTTTCCGGACTTTCCAGTTCAATTAATATCTCACTTTCAAGCGATGCTGGTGTTTTATTTATTACCACCAATTTAGCTTCCGAGACCAGTTCCCTCGATTTGGGAAGTTCGTGTTCACCTTCTACAGTCTCGCTGTTATCGTGTTCTTTTTGGTTATCGTCTTGATCAAGCAGTTGATTTACGTGAAGTGAAACGGGACTTCTTTCGATCACAACTGGTTCATCTTCTTGCAGCGCCTCGGTTTTCATCTCATCTGCACGTTCACGACCTTCTTTTGGTAACTGGTAATCGATTACGGACTCAACATTTACAAGTAATGATTCAACAGTAGGGTTATCATCTTCCACTCCTTCGGTACCTTCCTTTTCAACTAAAATTCCTAACTCCACTATCGCTGGCGTCTTATTCACCACAACAAGCTCACCTTCTGTGACTGGAGCCTTCGGGTCACCTTCACCATTCATTTCGTCAGGCATCTCTTCCATGTGAAGTAAAATAGGCCTTTTCTCTATCACTATGGGTGCATCCTCTTCAAGAACATCGGGTTTGATGGCACTTGCAGGTTCCTCAGTTTGATCTGGAGTTGTATTATCAGATTGAGTTTGTTGTTTGTGTCCGACTTTTTTGTTTTAAGTGTTCTCACACACAACACCTGCAAGTTCTCACTCGGTAAACATCTCAGTTGCCTCCAGGAAATCAAAATGATACAATTGTCAATTCAGCAAATAATTGTTTATTTCTCTTACTTTTTCACGATTTCAGCTTCAAGTGTTTGGTACTCATATCCTCACTGCCTTGATTTCCCTTTAACAGGAGTCCATAAATAGCAGCTATCAAGTTCGACTATGTCACTTCCTTTTCAAGGACCAATCTATTTTTAGAAAGCATTGCCTGTAAAAATGGACCTCCCCTCCGTAAGTGTCCACCTTGAAGTAGGAAATATGAAAAAATAAAAAAGGAAAGAACGAAAAAAAAAAAAAAGAATTGTCAAAATTTCATTTAAGTACCTAAAGCTGCATAGTTTGTGGGAACATACGCGATGGACTAGATCCGATCTAAAAATAAACTACTCTCTGAAAAACCCACCACAGAAATACAAGAATAATGTTTGCTCCGGATTATGGGCTCCTTTCATCATAATGCTACATGCGCATTTTTAAACAGCTTTGGATGAATCTAAAACTTTTATAAAAGTAACAGCCAATAATTATGTAACCCTGCATAAATAATAGTAACAATAATAAACAAAAACATATTTTGTTACCGGTTGCACTCATCAGCAAGTGCTGAAATGTAAAAATAAGCAACTAACACTGTAAAAAATACATAAAATTCAGCAAAGCTAAACTTTTGAAAATATTTCGTCAGGTCGGCACCAAAAGTGATTTCCAGCGTTCAATCTTTTACTTGTGTCATTGCCGTGACACAGTAAGTAATAAACTTTTTTCCTCAAGGTCGTATGTCGTTATTGATGAAAATAGTTAAAAAATACAATGACCAGGCGCCCGGATTACCCCTAACGTGGCAGAAAAAGCACTCGACAACTGAATTGGAGGTAGTACTCATTTTCAGTTGATGGCGGCCTGACCTAATTTTGTAATCGTTTTTCTTACCTCTTTATGCGATGCTGACAACTCTTTTAATTTAATTTCACCATGTGTGCCCCCTTTGATAATAACTCAATTTAAAACGATACATTATCCATGAAAAAAACAACACCCCTTCCTCTATCTACAAGCGGTATCTACAGTTCGTTACACAGGAACGATCGTTACGGCATTTGTCTGAAGCCATCGCTCTTCCGTTTTATCGGTGATGTACACTATGTGCGAGAAAACAGTGGCTGAAACATACGAAGTCTGAGGCCATCGAAGACCCCAAATGTCCCAAAAAAACAGTTCTCATTTTCGTTTACCAATTTTGATACAACGAAATACTAAGACCAGCGTTTAACGTAATTCTTTATGAAAGTCAGTTTGACCTTTTATGGCCTATAGTAATAATTTGAAACAACAGCAAAAATGTGTATAATTTCCACTTCTAACATGGTTCAATAATTTGTTCATCAAAATAGATTGTCAGCGTACCCGGGTTCACGTTAATCATTATTGAAATAGTCACAGCTTACATTTTCTGTCCATTTCTAATGAGTCCCTTCGCAATGTCTGCAGTTTTCTTCAAACTAAGAATGCTACCATCTCCCACGAAGGGCTGTAACATGCCTCTGCAGCAGCCTATTTTATGAGTGCACTACATCAGTGAACAGCACTTACACTGAGGAGAAGCAAGACCTTTCTTTCCCAATCTATTTCTCTTTCCATCAATTTGATCTTCATCGTCAGCCTCTAACAATCCCTTAGCTGACTGCTCCTCAGCATCCTTAACTTTTTCAGAGCTATCTGCCTTTGCTAGTGCGCTCGTAGGTATCGCTTCTCTTGTATGGGATAGATGAGCAGTGGGAACATGTTCCTTAGAGTCAAGTATTCCACTCTCTGATGGTGCCAAGGGCGCGGAACCATCCTTCTCTTTCTCGGGGAGTATTTCCGGTGCCGACAGTCTCTTCCTGCTGAGAACTTGACGTAAAAGCTCGTCGTCGCTGCCTTCGTCTTTATCAAAAAGTTTTGTGTACGAAGTTGACTTCAACGTTTCTCCTTCAAGGTCATCTAAAATTGCCGTTTCACGGCATTCCGGCTCTGTTGGCTCGTCTTCGTCAGTTCTCTGAAGTAGTTCCTCTTCGGACTCAGCGGCCTTTCTTTCCATGGCGGGAGGAACAGTCTCTTGAACACTGTCCTTAACAACCTCCGTTTTCTCTACAAGAGGGATGTCTAAAACTATAACCGACGTTGACTCCTCTGAAACAGACGATTGATTTTCTAGGGTCTCGCTGGGCTGCTCGTGACAAACGCGTTTCTTTTCAACAACATTTATGACAACTTCATCTACAAGATTTGAAGATTCATCTTGTGAGCGACCTTCTTTCTCTGTAGACTCCTCTGGATTTTGCGCAACAAACAGCTCCTCCATTTCAGACGAATCCCTCTTTCTTTTTTCGACTGCACGAGGTACAGTTTCCTCAATTGGCTCTTTTGACTCTGATGGCTGCGTATCATCTTCTACTTTTGGTTGTTCTGGGGATGTGTCGTCGATTACAGATTCAATGTTCACGAGTAGGGATTCCACTGTAGCGTGGTCTTTTTCCGGACTTTCCAGTTCAATTAATATCTCACTTTCAAGCGATGCTGGTGTTTTATTTATTACCACCAATTTAGCTTCCGAGACCAGTTCCCTCGATTTGGGAAGTTCGTGTTCACCTTCTACAGTCTCGCTGTTATCGTGTTCTTTTTGGTTATCGTCTTGATCAAGCAGTTGATTTACGTGAAGTGAAACGGGACTTCTTTCGATCACAACTGGTTCATCTTCTTGCAGCGCCTCGGTTTTCATCTCATCTGCACGTTCACGACCTTCTTTTGGTAACTGGTAATCGATTACGGACTCAACATTTACAAGTAATGATTCAACAGTAGCGTTATCATCTTCCACTCCTTCGGTACCTTCCTTTTCAACTAAAATTCCTAACTCCACTATCGCTGGCGTCTTATTCACCACAACAAGCTCACCTTCTGTGACTGGAGCCTTCGGGTCACCTTCACCATTTATTTCGTCAGGCATCTCTTCCATGTGAAGTAAAATAGGCCTTTTCTCTATCACTATGGGTGCATCCTCTTCAAGAACATCGGGTTTGATGGCACTTGCAGGTTCCTCAGTTTGATCTGGAGTTGTATTATCTATTACAGATTTAATGTTCTCAAGCAAAGTTTCAACCGACGCAGAATCTTTTTCTTTGGTTTCTTCATTGTCGACCAGCATATCTGACTCGAGTGCAACTGGTGTTTTTTCAACAACGACAAGCTCAGCTTCAGCGACAGGTTCTCTTTCATCTACATCTTTCTTCTCGAGATCTTCGTCAAGCGGATGCTCGATGTGCAATGATGCAGGTTTTTTCTCTATTACCACAGGCGAATCTTCTTCAATGGCCTCAACAACAACTTCAGATGGTATTTTAACAGCTTCCAAAAGAGTGTGATCTACAAGAGATTCAATGGTTACAAGCAGTGTCTCTACAGAGGGGGAATCGTCTTCTTTGGTTTCTTCATTTTCGACCAACATCTCTGACTCAAGTGCCACTGGTGGTTTCTCAACGACGACAACCTCAAATCCAGAGACAGGTTCTCGTTCATCTTCATCTTTCTTCTCGAGATCTTCGTCAAGTGGATGCTCAATGTGCAATGATGCAGGTTTTTTCTCTATTACCACAGGCGAATCTTCTTCAAGGGCTTCAACAACATCTTCAGATGGTTCTTTAGCGGCTTTCCAAAGAGTGTGATCCACTACAGACTCAATGTTTACTAGCAGGGTCTCCACAGGAGTAGACTCGTCTTCTTCACTTAGCTCATTATTGTCGACCAACATCACTGACTCAAGTGCTACTGGTGTTTTCTCAACAACAACAAGCTCAGCTTCAGAGACAGGTTCTCTCTCATCCACATCTTTCTTCTCGAGAACTTCATCAAGCGGATGCTCCATGTAGAAAGATGCAGGTCTCTTCTCTATTACCACAGGCGAATCTTCTTCAAGGGCTTCAGCCACATCTTCAGATGGTTCTTTAGTGTCTTTCAAAAGAGTGTAATCCACTACAGATTCTATGTTTACAAGCAGGGTCTCCACAGTAGTAGACTCGTCTTCTTCACTTTGCTCATTGTCGACCAACATCACTGACTCAAGTGCCACCGGTGTTTTCTCAACGACGACAACTTCAATTTCAGAGACAGGTTCTCGTTCATCTTCATCTTTCTTCACGTGATTTTCGTCAAGCGGATGTTCAATGTAGAATGATGCAGGTTTTTTCTCTATTACCACAGGCGAATCTTCTTCAAGGGCTTCAACCACATCTTTAGATGGTTCTTTAGCATCTTTCAAAAGAGTGTGATCCACTACAGATTCAATGTTGACTAGCAGGGTCTCCACAGGAGTAGAATCTTCTTCCTTATTTTCCTCATTGTCGACCAACAAATCTGACTGAAGTGCCACTGGTGTTTTCTCAAGGACGACAACTTCAATTTCAGAGACAGGTTCTCGTTCATCTTCATCTTTCTTCTCGTGATTTTCGTCTAGTGGATGCTCAATGCAGAATGATGCAGGTCTTTTCTCTATTACGACAGGCGAATCTTCTTCAAGGGCTTCAACAACATCTTCAGATGGTTCTTTAGCAGCTTTCAAAAGAGTGTGATCCACTACAGATTCAATGTTTACAAGCAGGATCTCCACAGGAGTAGAATCGTCTTCTTCACTTTGCTCATTGTCGACCAACATCACTGACTCAAGTGCTACTGGTGTTTTCTCAACAACAACAAGCTCAGCTTCAGCGACAGGTTCTCCCTCATCCACATCTTTCTTCTCGTGGTCTTCATCAAGCGGATGCTCAATGTAGAATAATGCAGGTCTCTTCTCTATTACCACAGGCGAATCTTCTTCAAGGGCTTCAACAACATCTTCAGATGGTTCTTTAGCAGTCTCCAAAAGAGTGTGATCTACAACAGATTCAATGTTTACTAGCAGGGTCTCCACAGGAGTAGAATCGTCTTCTTCGATTTCTTCATTGTCAACCAACATCTCTGATTCAACTATAACTGCTGTCTTCTCAACAACGATAGGTGCAGTTTCACAAACCGGGTCTTTTTTCTCTTGTTCTTTTGTCTCCTCATCTTGTTCCATCATCTGATCCATGTCGAATGGAGCCGGTCTCTTATCTATCACTATTGGTGAATCTTCCGCAAGGGGTTTACCCTTTTCCTGTAACGATTCATGGGTTCGCTTAGAAGGCTTAGCATCTATAACTTTTTCGACAGTCACTAGTAAGTCCTCTACCGTGGCAGAATCGCCCTTTTTAGCTTCTTCATTATCAACTAAAATCTCTGACTCAAGAATTGCTCGTGTCTCCTTCTCTACCACAACAACCTCAGTTTCCACAACTGGATCAATGTCTTGTTCGTCCTCCTTAACGTCAAAATCAATTGCCTGTTCCACATTAACTGAAATCGGTTTCTTTTTTACCACTACAGGGTAATCTTCCTCAAGAGCGTCGGATTTCTTTGCATCTTCTAATTCCTGAGGACGCTCTGGTAGTTCGTCGTCAATGACAGATTCAATGTTGTTAAGTAAGGACTGGACTGTGGCATTGTCAGCATGCTTCCCTTCATCGTCTGGATTTTCCACTAAAATTTCAGACTCAACTTTACAGACCACCACTGTCTTCTTAACCATCACAACTTCATCTTCCACAAATGACTGCCTTTGCTTAGTCACGTGTTCACCATCCTCCGAGCCTTCATCTGTTTCCTTCATCAAATGTTCTACATCAAGTGAGAAAGACTTCTTCTCCACAACAGGAGCCAGTTCTTCAATAACTTCAGCTATGTTTTTATTCGCTGGTTCTTGAGCTCGTTCCAGCGGTGACTGATCTATAACAGATACAATGTTTGCTAGCAGCGAATCCACTGTAGTAGTGTCATCTTTTCCTCCGTCATCAGGATTTTCAATTAAAACGTCAGATTCAAGTGAGCTTGCTACTGGTGTCTTTTCAACCACTGCCACTTCATCTTCTGTGACCTCTTCACCAATCTCATCATTCTTGCGAGCATTCTTCCAGTCTTCATCGCTCGGATCTTCGCCCTCGATTGCAATTTCCATGTTCGGTGAGACAGGACTCTTTTCTATGACCACCGGAGCATCTTCGTCAAGCACTTCTCTCTTGTCATTTGCTGGTTCGTGAGTACCATAAATCAATCCGTCGTCTATTACGGTTTCAATGTTGAGAAGCAACGACTCTACCGTAGAACCATCCGTTTCTTTAGTTTCTCCTCCTGGACCTTCTTGTTCCAGTAACAATTCGGAATGAAAAGCAGTGGATGTCTTGCTTACAACCACAACTTCGTCTTCTGAGATTAATTTCCAAGACTTGTTGACACTTTCTTCACCTATTACCTTTCCATTGACTACATCTTTTTGCACAATAGATATCGCGTCCTTAAGAAAAGGCTCGTCGTTTTCTACATCCTTTTGACCCATTTGAACAAACACTTTTGTTGTAAAGACGTGCTGTTTTTGGGCGGTGTCTGGCTGTTTAAAATTACCTTCGCCATGGCCATTCAGGGTTACAGATGCGTCTTCCATTGTAAGCTCTCTCACAA